TTGAACTTGGCACTAGATGGGGGTGAGTGGTCAACTTTACGCTCCGGACACGCCTGGGAATGAGCCCCCGGTACGCATTGGATAGGAGGTTGTGTGAGCCCCAAACGTTGGGCAATAATCGAACCCTGGCCTTCCAGCCCGTAGTCCGTTGCTGTACACACTGAGCTATCCCGGCTCCTTCTCATATCCACTTCATGAATAATTTAATTACAAAATTCACTAGAATTACGCCATAAGAGGAACATTACTATGTGGAACCATCCATAGTACATCTTTCGTCTTGTATAACTGATAAAATTAACTTCATTTAAATGTATTCTTATGGATTTTCGTCCCTTATTGGTCTCAATACTTGTCTGCTGCAAAGATATGTTTTCTACAGGAATCCAGGGTATCAAAATGGCTGTTCTGAAGGGTTCTTCTGCCTTCTGGTATATAGCACTGTGCAGTCCGTGCCAAGTCAACCGACGTTTCGAAGGAATATGTCGCTTGCTGCTCCCTGGTTTCTTGCTGGTCTTATTTTTCGACCCTGAACACAAAAGCTATGTGTTGCCCCTTAACGTCGGGCGCTTTATGAATTAAACGGTGGTATAACCTAAAAGATTGTACTCTTCATAGTGGCCGCCATGAAATCCTCAAATCTAATAATCTAACATTTTCCTCACTCTTCGTAGTTGAAATTTTGTCTACTGAAATGTGTCACTGTTCAGTTTGAAATATCTCACTATCCGGCGTACTCTTGAAGGCATTGAATATTAGAATATATAAAACAATAATTTTTGCAGATTTTTGTGTGAGTGTCAACCGTGGCCTTTTACTTTGAGGAAAACCATAAATTACAATTGCTTGAAAACAAAGAACGATGAACGAATTCAGGAGCTCGCCTAGGTTTTCTCCTATGCTAAAATATTGAAGAACATAATGGGTCGGACATGTGCTTAAGCTTAGATCCTATTCTGTTCGTTATTATGGCCACTGTTTCATGTTCCGATTGGAAAGCGCGATTTCCTGAACATCAGTTGCAGCGTTCTTTTGCAAGCTTTGATTAGTTTCAAGTCAAACTAAGTCTACAGGCAACATTAAAAAGGTCCTTCATTAATAATTTAAGCTTTATGATATTACGTTATTTAATTACGATTTATGAACTGAGGAAACACTGGGACGTACTGCTGTATAATTCGCTGAAATTTAACCAGATGTTTCGGTGGAACATATCACCTCGTCTTAAGGGTAGAAGAATAAGCCAGAAGTTAGGACTCTCAAAACCACTGCTGTGAGAACACCATGCCAAGAATATCACAGTTCCTCACTATTATTTCAACAGCGTCATCCCACGTTGCTCTGCCTCCTGGCGTTTATTGTCATTTGAATTTTGCACGACTTGCATGCTACCTAGCTGAAGTTGAATGCAATGAATGACTATGGTTAGAGCACCAAGGTTCGATTCTCTGGAAGGAGAGTTCATGGCTATTCAAGCCAATAGAAGCGAAATCGATTGAAAAAAAGGTCATTTTATGAAAGGCATTTCACAATGGATGCATATTTCCTTTCTAGAATTATGTTCCTTAATCTGAAAAATGTTCGTGGCAAGTGAACAGCTTATCTTGAAGGGGGGGGTCTACTTTCTTGAGTTATTTATGGCAGCGCATGCGTACATATCGTAACGGGGCATAGATGATCAAGCTGGAAAATAATTTGATTTGCCTCCGTTCTCACTGAACACACCGTAACAGGACAGAAATTATTACTCCGTTCATTCAGCACACCCAGCGTAACAAGGCATACATAAATTGGGACAACAATCCATTTTCACTGAACAAGGCATAGAGGGAGGTGAACAATAATTTGGATTTATTACATTCTTAATGAACACGCATGATACCATGACATAAATGAAACTACACAATAATTCGATTTGTTTCCATTCTCGCTGAATACATATATGGTAACAGGACAGTAATTCGATTTTTCCCCATTGTCAATCAATACATACTCGGAAAAAGGGCATAGATTTAGCTGAATAATAATTCGTTTTCTCTCCGTTTCTACTGTTATGTCGTATCCAGTTTTTAAGATATTTCACTTTCCTGTAAATTTCGCGATAACGGAATTGCTAATTGCTTTACTGAAGCTTAAATTGTACAAGAAATTCTTTGACATCAGAGTTTTATACATAAATTCATTACAAATTCTCCATTGCACTCATGTCTATAGTCTTAAACGGATTCGACAGATCAAAGAAAAACTTAAAAGAGTTTTCAATTTATGGCGTTTCTTTGGTAGGTCACACACTTGAGCAGTGTTGGTTTACGCCATACAAAGGAGATATATATTTTTATTATTCTTAGTGGGATGAGACTGAGTCCACTTGGTACTGCGGCCACTACTGGCCTATTGTACCAGCACCAGATGATAGATGATGGTGATTGCGGAACAACTTGTGGAATGAAGTTTGGCAGGGGAAACCGAAATACTCGGATAAAACCTGCCCTAGTGACAATTTGTCCACCAAAAATCCCACATGACCGGACCTTGGTTCGAAACCGGGCCGCCGCGGTGGGAAGCCAGCGACTAACCGCTTGAGCTACGGTACGGCCACCAGCTGAGACAAAAATCCATGCTCTATGAGAATGTTTACTGTGATAGTGACAACCAACGATTTTCATCGGGATGTATGAGACATAGAATTTCATGCGGTCATCTGCATGGACAATGGGAGAGCAAAACTAATTTAATCTTCTCAGTATTTGAGCCGTTTGTATAAGGGACTGGACCCAATAGATGGACTATCATCCAGTGTCTGCCCTCATCTTTCAGGAGATAATTTTTTCTTAAAAGCGGCTATAGACAAGAATTATTTGTATTACAAGGGGACCAGCCGTTCAGAGACTTCCGTGCTATTCTCTTTCGCCGCTAAGAAAAGCAAAGCTACGTGGTCGTAGATTTCAGTCGTCCGAGGAGGTCGTCAATGCCACAAGAGACGCCGTACGGGAATTTACTGCCAATATGTTTCAGCAATGTTTTCGACAGCGATATATCAACTTTGGCAGTCTTGCATAGGGGCCAAAGGAAACTATTTTAAGGGCCGATGTGGATCTGTGTAAGTGTATGTGAATACGTTGTAATATGATGCGATAAAACCACATTCCACGAACTTAATGACTGTACCACGTATATGTGCTTATATATCAGGGAGATTATTGTCATTAGGGATATAACACCGTGAAGATTGGCAGATATATGTAACATATCTGAGAAACCTGCCTGCTAGACTGCCTGCATCTTCATAATCTGTCGTCTTCCACTCTGAAGTTTTAACACATGCTTCCAAAAGGAAAGATTATGGCTACGAAGGGGAACGGCCTGGATATGGGCCCTGAGGCCAAAATGCTCCAAAATGTCAGTAAACCTGCTTCTTTATACAGCCATGAGAACATAAAATTAAAATTTAATTTTTATATAAATCCGGAGCCGAAATTAATTCTCCGTTGTCCTCCTCCTACGCATTTACTGGACAACTAACACATTAAGTAAGGATATGCAGACGTTTACTGGCGTTCTTGCAGGAGATTAGAAGATCCCGCTAAACGGTTTGAGCCTCGTCCACGTACAGTCTGATTCTCATTCTTAGTTCCTCAAAATCTAGATAAATTGTTGGTTGAAAAAGATAAAGGTATCCCTGTAACAGGCCATGGAGGCCCATAGGGTTGTAAAACGTCGAGGCTCCCACATTTACTAGACAATCGACTCACAGATGGCGGTGAGGTTGTCAACCTTAGTCACCGGCCGCACTTTATCCTCAGGAAGATTCCTGGTACTCATTTCTATTAGAGGCTGAGTCGACCCCAGGGCCATAGTGCGGTTGGAAGGATTAAGTAAATTGAAAAATCCAATGATATCATCGGGAATCGAACCCGTGACCTTCCAGACTGTAGCATAGTGCCTCAACCAACCACTCTAAAGCGTGCCATGGAAAAATTGCTGGAAAAATATGTTTAGTTCGAAAATTAATATCTGTAGTTTCATAAGCAGTTCCGTTGCGAGATCTGAAGTTGTCACGGCGGTGACTGTTGAGATGAGTGTCTTCTGGAATGTGACGCCGTGTACTTTGTTCACCGACGATAGGGATGACAGTACTTTCTCTACATTTAAGGTGAAAGAAGAGGCGTGCAAGCAAGGAGCAAACAGAGTTGTTACCTGCCACCGTAAACTCTCAATTCCGCAGCCTATTTACTCGTATCTATGGCTCTACAGTCCTCTGTTGGACTTTGGCCGATTTTTCAGTTTCCTATTCCTATACACCAGGCATGTCCAGCTTCAAACAGGTTGTAATCGACTTTTTAGTGTCAAAACTGCCAGTGATCTACATCCCCTCCTATCATCGTACCTCGCTTTAAGCAAAAATATTGGTAAAAATAACACGACACATGATGTTTGTTGGAAAAGCAACTAGTAACTGGGCTGTGTCTCTGATGGCTGTAGATTCTTCCAGTTGGAGGCAGAAAGCAACACAACTGGAAACATTTTTCAACAACTGTTCAGTTATGTTTCCACAGATCATCTCTATTCGCCGCACAGTGGTGTTTCTTGATAATTAATGATCTTGAATAGCAGCTATGATCTCTTTCTTATTTTTTATTACAAGTGCATCTACATGCTTTTCACGTATAATCTTCTTATAGGCCTATGAGATCGACCAATAATAGTCCCGCGATCGACCGGTCGATTGCGATTGACGCGTTGGACATGCCTGCTATACACAGTCGGTAGGATTCCTTGGACGGGGGATCAGCCCGTCGCAAGGCCGCTACCTACACACAGAATAAACGCACATAGACATCCATGCCTCGAGTGGGATTCGAGCCTACGATCCCAGTGTTCAAGCAAGAGAAGACTGTTCATTAATAACGTTACACTTTTTACAGCTCAGCTTGTTAAGAGACAAAAAGAGCATTAATTTAGAAGCTAGTTATATTGAAATTAAATTTTTGGTAACTCACCTCGAGTGCTTCTGTGACTTAGATCATCATCTTCCACTGCAATGTCCTTCGTTGTTAACATCGTCAGTGATGATGATTGTTTGTCTTTCGATCGCGAGAGAAAGCTCATATCCGAGTCAACATCATCCATCATTTCTTCATCTCAGAACTACAACCATTTCCTGATTTTGCTACTTCGTACACTTCACTGAATTACTACAACACATTGTGAACTTTGCTTTTAAAGTCAGTGACACTGTAAGTCCACTTCCACTCTATACACCCGATTCTTAAAGCTGAACGCATCATCGCCGTAATACAGACTTCGATGACCTGTTAGTTGGCAAGGGTTCTGACATGTACCATCTCTCACATCGCTACATATAGCCAACTTATTTCGACATCAAAATTCGGTAAACAATTCTCTTGAACAGAACGTATACTTCACTTCATCCTTTGGAGACTGAGTTGTTGTTGGCACCAACGAGATTTACAAACTACGGAATTATGCCAACACACACCCACTTGCTGCTTTGCAGTACTTGATTAGTGAGCGGATATAGAGAGGTCTACATCCGGTGGTATCTGGTGATAAAGCACTTGCGAATTTCGTGTACGTTACTTCCGGTGGGTTAGTGATCACGTGCTCCTACAATAATATATCCCTCTTGCTGAAGCCACAGACGGTCACTAATGGAAATCAGCTCTCTCCGAGATGTCATCGCGTGTAATTATATTCTCCTCTGAAGGCACCTCCTGCGGAGAAAGAAAAGCGGGTTTAACGATGGCTTAGATTGAAGAAGTTGGCGGGGCTCGGCTGTCATTACAATTACTCAACCCATCAATTCACACAATTTTTTGGGACTGCATCCTGTTTATATTTAAGTCGTAAAGTAAACCGTTTCATAAACATAAGTTAGAAAACATTAATTTCATTATTTGTGTGTATGTTTCGGTCGTAAACGGACATCATCAGGCGATGTACAGAAATCAACAAAAACACATCAAGACCCTAAGCACATATCTGTTAAAACATGGAAATGTAGAAAAGATATATAGAAAATAATAAATTACTTCGGATCCGGCTAATTTTGCAAGGACATGAATATAAAACGTACAACATTTGTCTAAATATATATATATATTCTTTAATGTTTAAAAGGCTCGTATAGTGGCTCAGAAAGAGCCATACACATGAGTTGATAAACAATAATTTCTCGCATGATTGTAAAAAAAAATATGAACGCAGTGATATTTGTTGTGTTGTGACGGTTAATAAAGAGGTTGAACGCAGTGGTCTCTGGGCTTACGCTCTTATCGACTAACGGTCCGTCTCCCATGTAGTCCCGTTTCTTATACTGACGACATGATTACGATATCACTTGGATGCCAATTTCGGAAAGACGGAGCGCCCCTGAGTGGCTCCAAAAGGCCTCATCCAATTAGTGACGCACTCTTACTGAAGTCAGGGGCTCAGGTGGCCTGCTTTCAATTGTCCGATGAGCGTCGCTTGTATAAAGAGCTCTCCTCGTACACTTAGTCTTTTATTTACTTAAATATTAGTTGGTTGAGGCACTATGCTGCAAATCGGAAGGTCGCGGGTTCAGTCCCTGATAAGGTCATTTGATTTCTTTTCAATCGACCTAATCCTTCGAGCCGCAATATGGCCCTGGGGTCGACTCAGCCTCTAACAGAAATGAGTACCAGGAATTAATTAAATAATTTTCCTGGGGAGTAAAGCGCGGCCGGCGCGTAAGGCTGACAAGCTTGCCTCCCTCTTTGAGCCGATTGTCTAGATAATGTGGGATCCTCAACGTCTCACAACCCTATGGGCCTCCACGGCCTGGTACAGGGATAGCTTTACTTTACTTACTTTTTACTTAAATATTGAATGAGCTTAATAAGGACAGACTCTGAAATGAATGTGACGAAAGACAAGGAAGTGAGGGATGCAACTAGTAATATGCAGAGAAAGCAGGAAGTTACTGAAAAGGGCGAAGGAGGTGTAGAAACAAGTGCTCTGTTTAGTAAACATGGCGTACCCTGATCCATCATTTCCACGATTATGGACCTCTTTATGCTCTATTTATTCATTATTTATCAATATTTATATGTATTAATGCTTTAGTATGCTACAGTAACTTTTGTTTGTCACAATTGCATATTTAAATGATATAATCTAAGATTTTAGAGTGAAAAAGTCAAATTGTATTTATCATGAAACACGTATTTCTTAATACTGGATTGAAGATAATTTCAATTAATAATGGCTTCCATGGAACCAGTTAATATGGTCACCCGAGGAGCCATTTTATATACTTAAACATGCGGGTACCAAGAATATTCATTAGGCCTATTAAATGTGTACAGTCGAAGGAACTGACCCCAATATAATGCACTGTCATGAATATTCGGCCATAACGAGTAAATATTTTCCACACAAATTCGTGATTGAAACTCCAGCTTTCTATATGGGAGATCTGGGTTTCGAGCTCGGTTTGGAGGCTAGAAGTTTTGACAACGAGTTTTTCATGGCTTTCCTCCATCCCTTCATGCAAGTGCTGGGATTGTGCCTTAGAAATGGCCGTCACTACTTCCTTCTATCTTATGATCAATTAGCAATGTAGAAAAATCAATTCGAGGCTATATGACCCATGTAGTTGAGAAAGCGTTTGTTAATTGTGCCACATTTTCAAAACATCTGTTACCTATATTCATGTCATGATTTTTCTCTGCATTTTGGTGACGAGACAGCAACATATACGTAGTTTTCTCTGTGTTTACTTCTAGAGCAACCCCATTACTAGAGCCAACTAAAGTTTGTATGTTTATAAGAAAATACGTGGTATAAGTACCATAAAGAGAAATGCAGACAAACCACTATATGCTAGTAAGAAGGTTCGTGTCGTACCAGACGTAGAGAAATTCACATCTTGTCACCAGAATGCAAGACGAAACCATAATATAAGGGCAACCAACAGATTCTTTGAATGTGCCACAAAGTTCGGGTAATTGGGGAAGGGTATTAACAAATTCAATAGAATTAAAGACGAAAATTAAGAGCAGATTAAATTCGAGGATTACTTTCTACCATTGAAATAACAATTCTTCATCTTCCCGTCGGCTCAAGAAAGTAAATATTAAACGAGACCTACACACAAGTGCAGTTCATGTTGTTTTGTAAGTGTGTGAATCCTGGTTGTCACGAGGAAGAATCAAGATTGAGCACATTTGAGTACAGGGCATTGAAGAAAATATTTAGACCTAAGAGGAAGGAAGTGTGACCGCCTCTGTGGTCTAGTGGTCTGAGTTCCTGGTTACAGATCCAGAGGTCCTGGGTTCGCTACCAGATTTTCTGAGAAGTAGTGGGTCTGGAACGGGGTCCACTCAGCCTCGTGAGGATAATTGAGGAACTACTTCAATCGAAAAGTAGCGGCTCCGGTCTAGAAAACCGAGATTAACGGCCGTGGGGATCCGTTGCGCTGACCACGTGACACCCTCCATCCGCAAAAGTTGGTATTAACTTCGCCGACAAGCGGCGGTCGCTCGGTCGTATAGTTTGCGGACTACGGGTCACGGAATTTGTTTGTTTGAGGCAGGAAATAGAATGAGACAGAGAACAGTGCACATTGAAGAGCTTCGTAATTCATATATTTCTTGAATAATTGTTAGAATCATCAAAACAATGCAGGTGAACTGGGCGGGACACGTAGAACGCGTGTAAAAGATCAGAATGCATGTACAATTTTGGAAGGAAAATCTGCAGGAAATGCACCATTCGCGCGGCCCAGGCGCAGACTGAAAGGTAATACTGAAACAGATCTTTAACCAAGTATACCAAAATAAACTAACGTAAAACTCAAAGTTAATAAATTTAACTGAATTCTCCAAGAGGACTACATATAAATGTGAAGGAATCATACAAGAATGTGCCGTGCCAAGTCATATAAAAGAATTCGAAGCAAATAGTAAACACATAACTAAATACTGTGGCATATAGATCCGCTGCTAGGCAATGACCGCGAGATGAGCAACAGCCGTTGCTAAATAATGGTTCCGCAAACAACGGCCGTTGCTAAGCAATACGTGGGGAACTCCAACAGACATGAACGCAACTGCACAGGAACAGAAAACCTGTGTTTTCTGTGCTGTCCGTTCCGAGACGTTATAAGCAGGACAATTTAGAAGCTGGAGAGGGTTGGTTGGTTGGTTGGTTGGTTGGTTGGTTGGTTGGTTGGTTGGTTGGTTGGTGAGTCAGTCAGTGAGTTACTGAAGAGTTGGTTGGTAAGTTAATGAGTTAGATAACTACTGGAGTCTATCTATCTATGGTTCTACAGCCCTCTTGGATCTCGGCCGCTTTTTCAGTTTCTCAATCTATACACAATCTGTGGGACTCCTTGAGTGGAGGATCAGCCCTTCGCAAGACCGCTACCTACACACAGAACAATACAATCACAGAATAAACGCACACAGACATCCATGCCTCAAGTGAAATTCGAACCCACGATCCCAGTGTTTCAGCGAGCGAAGACAGTTCATTCTTTAGACGGCGCGGCCACTGTGAACGGCAGTTTTATGTCTATAGACGTTTCTAAAGTGATACATATAGAAGGAGGCAAACTGATGCCGAAGTGTTGAAACTGCGTTGAGACAGCTATGAAGGGCGGCAATGGTAGGCTGACGTTCGAAATTTACCGGGCAAATTTAATTACCCACATGAAGTCAAGCCTGCAGTAAAGGGTCGCAGAACCGTGAGAGCATATTGAATTTGGAACTGCATTATGACAGGAAGCTGGCTGGACCCTGGTGGTGGAACTACAGCCACTTGCAGTGTCTCCCATTTCCTTTCGCTTAGTGCAAAACGTAACTACAGCACTGGAATAAACAAAGGAGGGAAACTGCTGAGTGTTTCGAAATAAAATTAAACAAGCTCTAGCAGCTGGTTATGGCTGTTCAAATTCTTAAATGTGAATCATAAACATGTACATTGTAAAATGGAACTGGAAGAAGAATGGAAAGGGATGAAATGAAATTTCTATGAACTGTAGCAGGCTATACAAACAGGAATGATATTAAGAATTACACGGACCAATTTATTTCTCTCTTCAGCCGAACTGATTCTATTTCATTTGACCATGTTTTTATTGACGAATACAAAGTCTGAAACTCCCGGTTATGCAGTTATCTCCGACCTCATTTTTCCGTCTTTTCATTTCATCATCAAACTTCCTCATTCATTGTTGCTCGCTACAAAATAATTAGCCCAGAGTCTTCCCTTGAAGGCATGACTGTAATTGTATACTGGTTGTATCTTGAACGCTTGTAACAGGTTTACACACGTGTGCTCATAACAATGTTGACTGGAAATTAATTGTTAAGCAGCTGACCTGTCACTTCTGAGAGTAACACAGAATAATGCGACACACATCGTTGTTATGATGTCCACACCACGCGTATAACAAGGTCTCTTAAGAGCTAACGGCCATTCAGTAACCCTGCCACTAACGTGTGTAGGGAGTATGCTCGGTGCATGAGTATTAAATATAATGTTCATATATGGTTAAGTTGATGGTATGAATGGAACTCAGTACACGGATGCCTTTATTAGAATTGGTTTCACGGAAGAGTGCGTTTGTTATATTGGAATTACAACCTTATTTTTTCATAAAGGCGTACATTCATAAATACACGCTGTACAATTAGCATATTCCTGGATATGTAGCGAGCAACGTTGCTGAAATGGTAAAGATTTCTGC